CCACACTATCTGGTGTGCTGTAATAGAATTTTGTTGGGCATTACATGGAAAGACAGCCGAAGAGTGGGCCAAATGGCACAGGAGCTGTCAATTACTGTGTAACAAACACCCCCAAAACTAATTACTTTAAAACAATACTGTTGTTTTGTCATACTGTAGGTTGGCTGGTGATGACCAGGGCCATTGTGCTGTGGCATTCAGAGCTGAGTTTAGTTGATTGGAATGTTAACTGATGGCTTCATTTTTATACTTTGTATCTTGGGGGAGGGGGGCTGTAGGACCAGTCAGGCCTTTCTGTCCACTAAGGTAAGGACTTCATACATGGTGGCAACAGTTTCCAGGAGCTTCAGTAGAAAGCCTGGAGCTGAGCCAGCATCACATTCTTGACATTCTCAGGATCAAGCAAAGTTAAAAGGCCAATTCAGTTTTAGAAGAAAGGAAACAGACTCTGCTTATATAGGACAATGAATGTTAGCTGCGGTTAGAACCCATTTCAGATGCAAGACAGCACAGCTTGGGCTAGATCAGTGCAGTCTAGGGAGACGAACTGTGATCTGAGCATGCCTGGAAAGTAGAGCTCATAGTCTGAGTGGGTGGCCACAGAAAGGCAGCATAGATCAATGGCTTCAAGCCACGTTCATGGCTGCTGCTGGTGGTGCAAGTCTTTAATCGCAGAGGTAGGTGGACTGCTGAGTTCCAGGCTAACCTGATCTACACAGTGAGTTGCAGGACAGCCAGGGCTACACAGAGAAACCCCAACTCAACCCCTCTGCCTTCAAATGATTTTTTTATGTTATTTTCAGAGTTGTAACCTCAGAAACTGTATGAGAAAGATTGCGTTCTGTTAAGCAATGAGTCTGAAGTGCTATTCCCAGAAACTCCCACCCCAGTATCTGGAAAGTGTTCTTTATAACTGGGAGGTGTGGTTGCAGCCAGCACCAGTGTGGACAGATCAAGCGGGCTGCTAAACATTTATGGTGCATAGCACATCTCCATCCCAGTTCCCCACCCCCAAGTATCAACACTGAGAAACTGGGGGGCCTCCACTGAATAGGCAGGTGGGGGCATCTGCTTTCTGACCTTTACAACCAAAGGGAATCGGTGCTGTTTTGCAGTAGATGCTGGGAAAAGTGAAGCTGCAATGTGGAAATACCCGAGGGGCCCTTCGTTGTGGGTGCTACAGTGTGGACCACAGACAATGGCCATGTTATCAGGAGAAGGTCAACCCGGCACAGAGAGGACTGTTGAGGATTCGGGCACCAGACACACAAAGGGCCGGTCCCAAGGGCAAAAAGTACCAACCAGCTATAGGGTGATCCAAAGACAGGTGGAGCACGGGGTAGGAGGTAGGGAGCTACAGTCTCCCTAGTCCAGCTACAGAAGCAGCGATCTCCCTGCCTTGGCTCTACACTTGGCTATTGTCTTATGTAAACTGCTCTCTCCTTTCTCGAGGAAGCATATTTATGGTACAGTGGTTACTGCTGGGTTGTTTTTATGGAACGGATACTGAGCAGGAATGGGAGCAGAAGTGAACTGAGGAAGAGTACATAAAGATTAAGCAAATTGAGGCTTCATTTGTCTGGATGGCCAACAGGCAACCCTGCCCTGACCTAATCCCCATGCTTTCTAAATCCAAGGTTACAGAGTACCCAAGCAGCTTCTAAAGGAGAGCCCTCATCAGTAGCAGAACCAGTCCTTAAGGTGAAGTTCTAGGACACCTGTGCTCACTGTCATTCACATCCTTTAGATCCTGAGTGATAAAGAAAGGATGGAAAGGATGTGTATTTTTTTAAAAAGACTTTTTTAAACATTTATTTATTATGTATACAGTGTTGTATCTGCATGTATACCTGCATGCCAGAAGAGGGCACCAGATCTCATTACAGATGGTTATGAGTCACTATGTGGTGGCTGGGAACTGAACTTAAGACCTCCGGAAGAGCAACCAGTGCTCTTAAAATCTGAGCCATCTCTCCAGCCCAAGGATATGTATTATCTTTGTTTGCATGCTTTATCAGACAAGTACATAAAGATCTAGTGTTAGGGACTTTCCTACTTCTTAGAATCCCTCAACAAACCCCCCCCCCCCCCCGTGTGTGTGTGTGTGTGTGTGTGTGTGTGTGTGTGCGCGCGCGCGCGCGCACGTGCATATGTACACATGCAAATGCAAACTCACATAGTCTGTCTACCCTTGTCAAGTACTCAGCTACATAAAGATGGGCAATGGGCCTGGAGCACCTTCTTACTGGGAAATAGCCTCCCATCCTGGTTTTTGTCTTGTGAGGAATAAATGTCTTTCCTTCCTCTGGTCTCCCTGGTGTTCTGTTCCCTTGAGAGCCTGTATGGTTGGCCCTCAGGCATGTTCCAGCTTCCTGCATTGCAGCTGTATGGGGGAGGACAAGGGGTCCTTCACTACAGCATGAAACTAGGGCAGACGGTCACCTGGTAAGCCAAATAAAAGATCCGCTGGCCAGGAAGCCAGTGCATTGCAAAAAGCTGGGCCATCCATCAGTCTGTCCTTGCTCCTCCACTCCTTCTGTGCCTGTGTTACATTCTGCCTGTTTTTATCAACCTCAAGTCCTGTGCTGATCTCTTCTCTAGGTGATATTTGTCTCCCTTTAACCTTAGCCAAAGTCCTGTTACATTTTGTCTGGTGGCATAGCCCCGACACAGAGGGAACAACTTATCTGGTGGCATAGCCCTGACACAGAGGGAACACAGTGTATCTGGTGGAATAGCCCCCACACAAAGGAAACAATGTATCTAGTGGAATAGCCCCAATACAGAGGAAACAATGTATCTGGTGGAATAGCCCTAACACAGAGGAAACAATGTATCTAGTGTAATAGCCCCAACACAGAGGAAACAATGAATCTGGTGGAATAGCCCCCCCACACACACACACAGAGGGAACAATGTATCAGGTGGCTTAGCCTGGCTACAGAGGGAACATTGAAACTATGTATTCAGGTAAGTTGCAAATAAACCACATCTATGCAATGCAGTATATATGTGTTTTGGTATTAATTTGATCTATATTTTATTAAGACATGACCTGTATATAGTCCATCTATTTTTGTTGCTGTTTTGGGGAAGTGGTGTTTCAGGGGTGGCTGGGTTTTTGTTTGTAGATTTAGCTGTGTCTTAAGTCAGTTCTGTATTTTAGTCACCTCTATCATGGTAGGAAATACAGCTGACTAGAAGTGGGTAGAGGTAACTTAAATTTTTTCCCTTTTTATTTTATTTATTTTTATTGGAGGGAAACACATGCACTTGTCACAACACACATGGAGGTCAGAGAACCACTTCCAGGATTTGATTCTGTCCTTCTCCATGTTGATACTGGGGATTGAACTCAACTCATCAGGCTTGGCAGCAACCACCTTTATCTGAGGAGCTGTCTTGCTGACCCTTGTACTTTTCTATTTTAATCAGACAAGTTATTCCATTTATATTTAATGCAATCCTGTTTAATTCTGTAACTCTGGTCTTTGACTACTCTTTTTTAAGTCGTCACTCCCACCTCTCTCTCTCAGTCATGTGATCACTACAGAGCCTACCTTGCTCCTCTACCAGCAGTTAACTAATGTGTACAACACAATCCTGGAAGCCTCAGAGCCCAGTGCTACTTGGTGCTTTTGCCCCCTATGTGGACAGGACAGTCCCTGAAGATAACATCAAGACATTTTCTTTCTTTTGGTGTTACTTCACAATCAAAGTGTTTCTGTGTGCTTCAGACTCCATAGAGGTTATTATTCTCGCTGTCAGTGTAGATGACCAATATTGATTACATAGAGCTTCTGTAGCTCTTTTTCCTTCTTCCTTTTAGTCTCAAATGCTACAGATTGAAGCCAGGGTGTCCTGCATACTAGTCAAATAGCCCCTTTTATTACTCTATCTTGGCCATTGTTCTATTGCTGTAAAGAGACACCATGACCACAGCAGCTCTTATAAAAGAAAGTATTTCATTGGAGTTAGCTTACGTTCTGAGATATTTAGTCTGTCATCGTCAAGGTGGGAAACCAGGGAGAATGCAGACAGACATGGTGCTGGAGAAGTAGCTAATAATTCTACATCCTGATTAGAAGGCAGCAGTAAGAGAGAGACTCTGGGCCTGGCATGGACCTTTGAAACCTTAAAGCCCACCCCCAGTGACACACCTCCTAATTCTTTCAAACAGTACTGCTCCCTGATGACTAAGTATTCAAATACATGAACCTATAGGGGCTTTATTATTCAAACCACCAATTCTTTAGTCACTTGTTTTACATTTTTGTTGGAATCAAGATATTTAGCATACCCATTGCCACACATACTTAGGATATATAGAATGCTATAAGCCATAGTTAGCACCTTATACAATAGGTGTCTTCAACCTTCCTCTCCTAACTAACTGAAACCTTATAACTCTCAATGCTTCCCACCAAAACCATCCAGCCCCTGGCACCAACAGTCTACCTCCCCAAAACTCCCCCTCCTACATGTAATGTTTTTCTGATTCCATGGACAAGTGAGATCACGAATTATTTGTCTTTCTGTGCCTGGCTCATTTCACTTAGCACAACGCTCTGTAGGCTCGTTCCTTCTCCCAGCTGCAGTCTTCCACCTGGGGTTTCAGTTTCTCCTACTCGGGTAGCACTATTGGCTCTTTCCCTCTGTGCAGGTCTATTCATGCCAAACCTCTTGGGTTTTGTTTGGAAAAGATGTGATATGTTTTGTTTGGTTTCAGCCTAGTTAAAGGATATTTTCTCTGGGCACAGAAATCTAAGGTAGTTATCTTAAGCTATTTAAAAATATCTTGCCACCGCTGGCTTCCCACCAGACCTTTCTTTCTGCTGCCCACGCCTGCCCACACCCATCATGACTAGCGCTCAGCAACTGGAGGGGAGGCAGTGCCTTAGGCACTGCAAATAACTGTGGGAGAAACCGGGGAAATGGGAATGGGCTCAACATATTTTAAAATAGGGCATGGTGGCCAGACGTGGTTGGGCCATCAGCTGTGGCACTGAAAACATCACTAGAAGAACCAAGAGCATATGAAAAGAAGCCAGCACCTTGGGAGAAAAACTTGAAGAAAATGCCGCTGAGAGCAGAGCATTCAACTGCGGCTTTGTGGCAGGAGGCAGCAAGGGAGTGGCTCTGGCGGAAGGTACAGCAGAGGACTGACTGAAGGGGATTGGGGGAAGCTGACTCGTGGAAAGCAGAGTAAAAGCTCTGATTGTGAGTTAGTGAGGTGACTCGACTGATAAAGGCTCCTACAGCCACACGCAACAACCTGAGACTGAGCCTCAAGACACAGATGGTGGCAAGAGAGAATCGACTCTGTGTCCTCTGACCTCCGTACACGCACCGCGGCATGCACACCCATGTGTGCACACACACTAAATAAGTGAATGCAGCAACACTTCTAAATTTCCTTATCACTTGTGACAGAAATAGGTGTGAGCTTCATTCTGAAAACCTCTGAATGATTTGATTCGATTGATATTTTTTTTACTTGATCTGACATTTCCTCTGTGTTGGGGTTAGAACCCAAGGCCTACTCATGAGTGCAAAGTGAGTTTCTTACTTCTGAGCTCCCTCCCTCCCTGGCACTAGCCTCCATTACTGCACCCAGTTGTCTCTATCATAAACACTGCACATAAAGGCACTGTTCCAAAGTGTTAGTAACATGTCTGTGTTTTAAAAGGAAATCATCCCATGGCTTTTAGTCTAATTGTTGACCAATATAACCATAACTGTTTACTATCCTTATCAAGGCATATTCTTTGAGTCTTTTAGCTTTCTTTCTGGTCTTTCAGAAGATAGGATAACAACACGTCCAGTTTCTGGTTCTCTGTGGTTGGCATCCTATGCCAGTAACAAACTTTAGGAAAAGAAAACACAGAAAAATATATTTTATTGCATATTTATTATTTGAAGTCATTTTAAAAGTACATGAAATAAATTCAGTTATACACAGAAACATATTGTTCATTTTCAAGAACCATAAAAAAGTCTTCTTTGTTTACAAATCTTTACTATTCTTTTTAAATCACATCACAATGTAGGGTTATGTGTATATAGAAGAAAACTAGATGGCTTGGGCAGTGGAGGGCTCTGTAGTCTGGATTCTGTTCATTTCACTTCCACTGGGCTTGTTCCTTCAAGTTTCCTGAATGTAATTTTAAGTTCAGAGAAATTCTTATCTTTTTAACATACCGTGATACAGACACTAAGGTCTTTCAGAGGAAGATTTGGTTTTGAATTATATTTTCATCTATATTCAGGCTGAGTATAGTGTCATATACATGTAAACCATGCTTTGAGGAGATGGAGGCAGGAGGATCAGGAGAACAAGGTCATCCACAACTGCATAGGGGGTTAAGGCCAGCCTAGGATGCATGGAACCCTGTCTCAAAAAACAATTATATACGTAAAGGAGTCGGATACCCATGGGAAATGCATGTGAAAATTGGCCAGGCTGTCAAGGAGTAAGGAGAGACTCAGGCATGGCTGCTCATATCTTGATGCTAGCACTTGAGAGGCTGAAGAAGGCTTGCCTCGAGAGTAAGTCATCCTGAGCTACAGGAAGAGACCCTGTCTCAAAGAAAAGGATGAAGGGGAGAGGGAAGGAGAAAAAGAAAGAAAAGAAGAGGGGAGGAACAATTTGAGACCAAGAACTGCAATCCACCAAACATATATTGACATACATCAAATATATGGAAAGCCCATATATCTGGGCTGGAGAGATGGCTCAGAGGTTAAGAGCACTGGCTACTCTTCTAGAGAACCTGGGTTCAGTTCCCAGCATCCACATGGTGGCTCACAACAATCGCCAATCTGATGTCCTCTTCTGCAGAGCTCTCACAAATAAAATACAAATAAGTAGAAAAAGTTAAAACTCATACATCCAAAAATCACATTTTCTTAAAAGCAAAACAAAGAAACCGCACTAACTGACTGGAGGCAGTTGGTAAACCAGCTCCTCACTATCAGGACACAAAGGGTAGAAGCGGGCACTGTCCTGCTCTTCTGGTACAGGCTGTGCTGCAGAGCACCCTGAAACGAGAGGACACAGCTTCACGGAGGTGTATTCCAGCAGACAAGCCTAAAGGAAACCATCAGATTCGTTTTTTTCCTCCCTGTAAATAAACCACTGTCTCTTACCCTTGATCATCTACTTAGAGCCTTGTTTTTAAATATGTTTTCCAAGTTATCTTTAAACTCTGCAAAACAAAAAAACAAACAAACAAAAAAAATCATCTAGTGACTCAGCATGTTCTCTTCTTTATATGGGAAACACAATACCGCAGAAAATGGCAAGTGAAGTCCGTCAAATGAAGCAACAGAAATCAGAGCGCTTCATGGAACATAGACCCCAGGCCCACTTTTAACTCGTGGAGTAGCAACATCTGACAGATTGGTCTGCTCCACCGTGCCTGGTTCTCAGCTGGTCTTCCCCTTCTTGTCTGAGAGGCACATGAGTGATGGGTGACATCTCAGTTCACTCCCCTGAGTCCTTCCCAGGTGATCAGGTCATCTTCGGAAGCTCTGTTCTTTCTGACCTCCCAGAACTGCAAGAATCTCCATCTTTTAGCAGGCCCATCCCTTCCCCAAAGTTCCTCATTCTTGTTGAGACTTCTGCTGGGAGCTCGCTTACCTGCTCCTTCCTTCCTTGGCTGTCTAGGCCTCCACTCCTCAGCAGCCCCGGGTGTGACTGCGGGCAGCGGGGAAGCACGTGCCCAGGACATGGAGCTGAGCCCGAGTTGTGCACAGCAAAGCAGAACCCAGCAGAGTCAGCTTGTGGCGGGTAAGTCAGAAGTGGACTGAAGGGGCAGGAATCCCAGCCTGATTAGGAATTGTTGTGTGGGGGAAAAGGGGAGAGACATGTTCTGTCTGTGATGGGAACAAAGTTTCAGCCCAGAGCAGCCTGGTTTCCGGACCAGAGGAGAGCGTCCACAGCAGGTGGACCACAGAGGGGACAGTGGTTGTTAGATTGGATGGAAGACTCAAGGCACAAAGGACCTCTTCGGTCTCAAACTCCACCCCCTATCAATCCCAGCATTCAAAGTCCCTCACTCTTCACCCCCACCCCCACAAGCATGTCCTGTCAAGCTACTCTGGCTTTGAGGAAATTGGGCTCTTTGCATAAACTTTCTTCTGGATTTTGGCCTAGCTGTTCTTCTAGTACATTTTTTGGGTGGGGGGGGGGGGACAACAAAATCTGTAGCCCAGGCTAGCATCAAACTCTTTATGTAGCAAAAGATTGTCTATGTCCACCTCCTAAGTTCTGGGGTTATAAGAATGGGTCTGCACACCCGGTTTGTGCTGTACTGGATCCAGCCCATGGTTTCACTCACTCTAGGAAGTCTTCCTGTCAGCCCGGCCCCTGCACTGCATCATAGGGCTGGATTTGGGTTTTCCTTATCTGTCTCCTTTAGGCTGCTCTGAGCCCTGTCAGTCTGGAAGCTCTCACCTTTAATTTTTCAGATTTTTATCAGCATCGGCTGGAAAGGTCTCATCCCCTCCTCCTCCCCCTCCCCCACTGTATCGTGGACCCTTATCCAGATGTTGACTCATCTACACTTCCCCTTGCTCATCTCCTCCTCTCTCTCACTCACTCGTCCCTGCTCTGGCTGTAACCAAATGGAAGACCCACCTTTACATTCTAACTCTACCTCGGGGGTTTGCTCAAGCTCTCCGGGCCCCGATTTCTGTACAGCAGAAAGGAGAGTCCCCACCTCATGGGTGCCATGAGAATTAAGTGTGTCTAAACAAGAAATGAGAATAGGGAGTGTGGAAGCCAGGGGTGATGGCACACACCTGTTAATGCAGTACTCAAAAAGCTGAGGCAGGAGGATGGCCACAAGTTCTAGGCCAACCAGGGTTACACTCGTAAATGCCTGGTACACAGAAAACAATGCGGTTCTCACCTATTGTAACCTTTATTACATATTTCACCCATTAGTTTACTCGGGTTTGCTTGTTTGTTTATTTTTTTAAGAGATTTTTAAGGGATTGACCGTTGAGCTCCCGGCAACCCTTCACGGCTTTTAGGGATGGGGGGACCTCCAACTGCGGCTTTCAGGGCCTCGGTTGTTCCGTTCGCTGGCATTCAATTCGGCTTGTCTCCTGTGCTAAGCCCATGCCTGGGATGGCATTGCCTTAGCCAGCCCCTCAGCTCACCCGCGCCTGGAGGCCTGGGGTCTCCAGTTCTTCCTCTTTTTCTTTTTTCATTCCTTTTCTTCCTTCTTTTCGTCGTAACTGCTGCTACGGTGCAGCACGCTGCTACGCTGCTTGGTGCAGCACACCTCTATGGTGCAGCCTGATCTTGGCTGAAGCCCGGAGGCTCGAGTCGATTCAGCCAGGTTATAACACCGCCCCCCCTATGGAATCGGACACCTTTTCATAGGGCCTGCGGGTGTTCATGCCATCTGCATCTCATCTTAACGGGGAGCCGTTCTCGTTGTAGGCTTGAGGTGCCACAGTTTTTGCGGGTGTTTGCACGGCCTTGACCATGGGAGCCAAGCCATCCAGACCTATCACTCTGGCCTCATGCTTTAATGCCTCACACTTATCAGTTTTTGTCCAAAATGGCCCCAACTACCTTAAAAAAAATTTAAATAGCCGGTTTTTTGGGTTCCAGCCTTTTGCTGTTAGCCCTGGCTAGCCTGGCACTCACTGTGTAAACCAGGCTAACCTCCACCTTGCAACGATCCTCCTGTGTCTGCCTCTCAAGTACTGGGGTGATGGGAGTGTACCACCACACCCAGCTTGCACATCCTCCAGTGTCTGCTTTGTATTACTAATATTCTCTGTGATAGTGTTTGTTACCTATACTCGAGCTTGACTAACCAATGCTTCTAACAGCCTTGCCTCCGGACTTCACATGGTACATGCAGTCTGTTTTACTAATTAGTTGTGCTGTGTGTTCTAGGGAAGGGGCAAAGCCCAGCCTATGTAAGTCTTTCTCTTGGTGATATTAAAACCACAGAGTTGATGACCCTCAGGGCAAAGCCTTAGGGACCGTGCAGGAACTGGCGCCAGTCCTGCTTCCTGCACCACTGGGGTGGGGGACTCCTTCAGTCAGGGATTTCCTATGAAAGTCTTTGAAGGAGGCTGCTGCCTAGGAAGAGAGAGCAAGCATAGGTCCTCGTGTTCAGCCAGCAGGACTCTAGGATCCCCTGGTGTTATCCTGGGGCCAGGCCCTGGTCCTAGCGTCTATGGCTTGTGATCTTCCCAGGGCAGGAGGGAGAAGAGGTTGCTCAAGTTCCTTTTCCTGCATGCCTGCTTTCTGTACTCAGCCAGCCCTTCCCCGGGCTGGAGCCCCCGGAAGCTCCCCTTTAGCTGATGTGAGGTAGTGACACGTCCCCTCAAGGTCCCTCAGCATTTTTCCCATGGGTCTTCAGCAACTTGTTTAATTTTTCCTCCTGATGTGAGGTGTTGATGCCAGGAGTTCACTCTGGCTTCTGCCTTCCCCACCTTTTCTCATCTTAGACACCAAACCCAGGACCTTGGGCACACTTGGCAATCTCTTGACCACTGAGCTATATAGCCCTGGCCCTCCTCGGCTTACAAAGCACAGACTTGTTTGTTTGTTTGTTTGTTTTTCTCCATAAAATAGAAACTTGATAACTGTTGTGGGTATCCACCAGAGAAAACTACGCAGAAACAGGTTTAAGCCAATAGAAAGTCTTTGTTAGTTAGCCAGCAACTACACCGGGTATTCGGATCCAAGTACAGCGCTGACCCTTTCTCGGGGTGAACTTTTAAGCACACAATCACATCCTGGGTTGACATACTTCAGTTAACAAGAACAGTTAGCCAGAATTGGAACTACAAATGCCAAAAGTCAAGATTAGTACTTTTAGAGGCTTTTCCAGAACTATAGGCTTTGATGGATTAAGTCTGTGTTTTCATTCTGGCAGGTGGTTCTGTCTACCTGTTGAGTTTTTATAGCCTGACTGGTACTTCCATCATGGAGTCAGTTGTACTAAGGTCTGGGGCCCTGTTACAATAACAATATTCTAACTTGACTTGGATCCATAACCAATGCTCGCTGTGTGTCAGCCTCAGAGAAAGTGATCAAACCATGTGTTGTCCACACATCTGCCATGGTTGTCCTGTTTGGCATTGGCTAGAGTCTGGGTGAAGACTGTGGGACTCCCGCTCCACGTGATTAGTCAAGCTAGCTGACTTCAGACGCGTCTTTTTTTTTTTTTTTTTGGTTGCCACGACTGGCCCTTTTCTGCTGACTTCAGACTAGGTTTGATCAGCATGTTTAGCCAAGCTAAGTCAATACATACCTAAATAAATCAACTTGTTTGGGCAAAACAAATGACTATGACACAAGTCAAGCAGAAACTTCCCGGGCAACTTTCCTAGGTTTATCAGCCCAAGGTTCCAGCGGCTCCCACCCAGAGCAGAGACAGCCTACCTGCCTCAGCGCACGTTCCCAGTGACACAGACTTGGGAATCTCCGTCCCACAGCCGCTTTGACTCAGCACCCAGCCCAGCCAGATTAAAGCTTCTTGAGAACATCTGATCTTAATCTCACAGCTGCCTCTGCTTCGGCAAGACAGTTGAAGAAAAAGAAAGAGAAAAGAAACTCTCCCTTATCTGGGATGTGAGAGTTGAATGAAATGCACCCCTTTAATCTTGCCGGAACTCTCGAACTCCAGATAAGCCTTGGAACTTCGAGCAGCAAGCAGCGTCTGCCACACTTGTGCGTCTTAAGGCCGTGAAGATGTCTTCTCTTCTGCTCAACTATTTCACGAAGACCTCTTGGTTCTCAGACCAACAAGTAACTGCCTGACAAGAGAGTGTGTGGCTTTGGGCAAGTCACAAGCAGCTTTAAGTTCTGCCCTCAGACTTTCACAACTATGTCCCATTAAAGTCATCTTTGAGGATGAAGGTTGTGTTGAGGCAAACACAATCCATCCTTGAGCTGCAGTAGGACATTTCCAGGCACCCTGAGGGGCGCAGCAGCTCAGTGGAGAGGGCGGATGGCCTGGGTCCACCAGGAAGTTAAGCTTCATGCTTTGGGGTGTGTGCGTTTATCCCTCTGGGCCTCTCCTCCCTCATTTCCATAATGGGGGTGATTAAGTGATAATGGATGGAGAGGGACACAGAAATAGATGCTTAAGAGAGAGGTCCCTTAAGCTGCCAGAGTGACAGCATTCAATCACCAAGCCCTTACATTCATATTGTGTGCGAAGTTCCAGCAAGGTAAAGCGCAGCTATTTCAACGTGCACATATGCAACACGGGCATGTCAGTGCAGGGAAGATTTACGTTAAATACATGCATTGGAGAAATGCATAGACACGAACCTATTACGTTCTGCCCACGTAATCCTGAAAGATAGAAGCTGAGTAAATGCCTGGGTGTTTTTCTGTTCTTTTCTTTTTGTTTTGAGACAGGGCTTCTCTGTGTATCAGCCCAGGCTGTCCTGGAACTCACTTTGTAGACCAAGCTGGCCTTGAACTCACAGAGATCCTCCTTCCTCTGCCTCCAAAGTGCTGGAAACAAAGGCATGAGCCACCACAACAGGCTTCTATTCTTTCTTTTGAGGGGTTGAGTCAGCCCAGGTTTCCAGACCGATGTTACTAGCGAATTTCTATAAACTGAAGTATAATAGCCACACATTCCCGAGGATCCCATTTATTCTTCAAGAGTTCCACAACACAGCTGGAGAGATGGCTCAGTGGTTAAGAGTGCTTACCCATCTTCCAGATGGGTCCATCAGGAGGCTCACACCATCTATAAATCAAGGGATTCAATGCCTCTGGCCTCCTCCAGTACCTGCGCT